AAAGAAACCATCTAAAAAATCTGGAGAGCGATCAACCTTTCCTAGTAACAGCACCTTTATTTTATTTTCTCTCCATGTGTGTCAAGCAGCAGCCAATGAGAGCGAAGCACTGCCACATGTGTAAACGCTGCGTCCATCGCTTCGACCACCACTGCCCGTGGATTGAGAACTGCGTGGGAGAGAGGAACCACCGCTGGTTCATCATCTACCTGCTGGTGCAGCTGCTCACCCTGCTGTCGGGCCTTCACGTCGCTCTGTACGTCTGCTAAATGCCTCCGCCCGTCTCCAGCCTCTAAGATAAATGTCCTTATCTGCTGGGAATATTTGTGGCCTCAATTTGCCTTCCAGCAGTGACTCAGTGAAAACGTATCTTGTGCCGAATGTACTCTGCTCTGCCACTTTATCTTTAGAAGGAATTGGGTAACTTGTGACTTTTGGAGAACATCACTGAACTGAGTGGTTAAATTGTGTAAGGATGATCTGTGACAGGTTGCTTAAGCACACTTATAAAGTTCATGTTGTCTTCATTTTAAGGTTTCCAGTTAAAGGCACCGCTGTGGAGCAGAGGTTTATGTGCACACACACAGAGGCAGAAGTAAGCTCTGTGGTAATTAAACTTTACTGAGTAATAATCAGAGATTATCAGCTGAGTAAAGCATAAAAGAAAACACTCGGGGTAATGTGGGCAAACCTTTCAACAATATCTCATGACATTTATTGAAACCAGTGTTGCCCTGGACACAGAAGAATGAATTTAAAAAAAACATGTCAGTTTACACTTTGCAAGCTTCTGAGTACAGGCAGCCAAACAGCTGGCAGCCAAACAGCTGGCAGCCAAACAGCTGGCAGCCAAACAGCTGGCAGCCAAACAGCTGGCAGCCAAACAGATGGCAGCGTGGTTGTTAAACACCCATTTTTATACATCTAAATAAAATCTGAGATGTGCCTTTAGTCAGGAGAATTGGTGACAACAAAGATGATGTAGCATGTTCTGTTTCAGATTTTGCTAATTCATTCACTCTCAAAAATACATAACCGATATTTCATGTTGCCCTGTGAAAAATGTAATATTTTAAATTACTCTATCAAGGTAATGTAACGTACTACATCCCGCTTAGTTTTATAGCAGATGTTTAAACATTGAGACATGCATGTATTCCCTCTGGCCTACAGCGATGTCCCCATCAACCAAAAAAGAAACCATTAGTGTTTTTGTCCTGTCAGGCAGCAGGCTTCTCATCAAAGATAAATCATAGACTGTATATAAGCGCTGGACATAACCACTGTGACGTGACCAACGCTGTCATTTTTAAAGAGTCATTGGGGTTTTTTTTGTGTTACCACTGCGTTGCTGTTTTGCTGTGTGCCGGTCTCTGTGGCAACACTAAAAATTGAAGTTCGTCCAATATAGTAATGAGTAAATGGGATTTTTATTGAACTCACCAGTTAATCCAGGTGTGCTGTAGCACCTAGTTCTCCATTGGGCCTCTGAACTGAACAGTTTGAGCGTTTTTATGCTTTTGATGCCTTTTTCGAGCATTTTTAATGGATTTGACTAAAAGTTTGTGCTTCAGTTTTGGTGGTTGCGCTTCTAGTATTTTGTTATTAACAGATGCATATGTGGCTGTGCTCCGCAAGCGTCAAGAAGCTGATAACTTCTTCAACCTTGATTTCAGTTTCAAAATATGGCATCCAGAAGCAGTGGATGACCTCACTATGGTTGCAGACTATCCATAGAAGGCAAGCAGTTTGTTTAAACTCAAGCCTCAAGTGGACTTTAGAGGAACTGCAGTTTTTTGCATTTCATCATTGTCTTCTGCTTTGTTTGTATATAAGATTAAAAAAAGAAGCATGCATTCTATACCTACTAGTCAGTATTCAGGGTGAGAACAGGCTTATGATGTTCAGTTGTTTGCTTATCAGCAAATTCTGTTAACAATCAAACTGATGATGATTTTAATCTTGCTAAATTATGTTTAGTTTTCTTATAAACAACTTTTTATGGGACAAACCAGTGAATTAATCAAACTGAACTGACCCAGATTTTTTTCTTATGATGAACTTCTGTTATATCCAAACAGATCTAAGTTTATTCCTGTTGTGTAATTTCCTTGTGTTTCAGGTCAGGCATTTCTCCTGCTCTTACGTGGGAGCAGTGGTTCAGGGTGAATGGCTTTCTGCTGGCAGCGTTGTGCATAGTCGGGATTTTCTCCGTGGTTGTGGTGGTGCTGCTAGGCTCCCACTTGTACCTGATTTCTATCAATTGCACCACCTGGGAGTTCATGTCCCGCCACAGGATCTCGTACCTGAAGACCTGCAAGGACGAGGAGAATCCGTTCGACCGTGGCGTCCTCTGCAACCTGTGGGATTTCTTCTGCATCTGCAGGACGGTGATGTGGGAGAAGGTTTACCACAGAAACACATTGAATCCAGTCTGACCCCACAGAGGCTGGAGTCAACTAATCTCTGACTGGTTTTGTATTTTCACAAAGATGAAAACAGGAGAATGAGAAAGTGTTTGTCTTTAATTGTTTTATCCAGATACAAAAATCAAAAGGAAACTTTTTGGACTGAAACAGCGGACCGTCTCAGGAGGATTGTAATCACTCTGGTGCTCCCAGCAGTTTCCTGTTCTTGGCTGGAAACTCGGACTTGTTTTCATGTAACAAATGAATCCAAACCTCAGAAGTATCTGTGCGCAGTGTTGCCTTAACACAATCCCTTTACCCGTATTTACAGTTAACATTGAAACACACGTTCAGTGTTGGTGTTTCACCGTGTGATGCGCAACAGCTGATGTCACGGGTTTGCATGTGGGGGTGTTTTTGACGTGTGTCACTGGCTCCGTTTGATTATTCCAGCTACACTTTGAGAAGCGGAAGTAAATAAATAAAAGAACCTGATAGTCCGCACATCTCTTAATATGGAAAGGATAACTGGAGTTGGACCTTGTTTCAGTCTCAGCACCTCGTTAGTGCTGCCTGTGATTTTATGAACCAAAAGATGCACTTAGTGTTAACGGCACATTAAAGGGCTCATTTTTATTCTTGGATTCTAGACTAGCTTTCCATGATTCACGGCTCAAAAGAATCTTTGGTACAGCCTCTCAGTTTGTTCTCTGTCTGAAACAAGCTGCTTTAGCTCCTCCCTCTTTAAACCAGCTGTCTTCTGTTTGGCTGTTATCTGCAAACAGAAGGTTTGAACACCCAGTGGGCGGGGCTTCTAAGCTAAAAGAGCATAGGCTGTGTATAGAAGTTGGATTTAGTTGATGTGATGTGACCACTGGTTTGCAAAGGCTCGTCTTAAACACTTTCCCCCATAAACAGGACATCTGAACACTTAATGAAGAGTTATTCTTCGTCTAGCTATCGTCTTTGTTTGTTGAAACCAGACACCAGTCACAAAGCAAACCACGCTGCATCATCATCATATATTAGGGATATACAAAGAACAGAAGAAAAGTTTGAATCTGAGCATTAAGAGCAGTCTGAAATCTCAGCTTTTGGCTCTCAGTTATGTTTGACTCTTCAGTCAGAAAGAGGAAGAGAAGGAAAAGCAGATCCATGTTAAGTGTTTTCTGAATGTCAAACTGAGCTCTCTTGCCTTGAAGTCAGGTGGTGTTTAAAATATCAGTGTACAAGTGGCACATAAGTTGTTTGGGTTTTTTTTTTAAGTTGAATAAAAGACAAAAATAAGCACTAAATGTGATTGAAACACTCAGGTTTGGTCACTGCTCTCTGTAAAGCACGGTTGTCAAATATAAGGCCCGGGGGCCAGAATTGGCTCAGCAAAGACTCCAATCTGGTCCATGTGTGAAATTTGTAACGCTGACAGAAGGGAGAAGTTTGACATCCCTGCTGTGAAGGTTTCTGTTGTTAAGTGATGAGAGTGGTGACCCCACATTATTTACACTAAATGCCTTTAAACCTGCTGATGTTTGGTACCTGCCTGTAAACTGATGTCAGTAAGTTCATTTTTTACCAAGTTTTAACTGTAATGTTCTGTTTGTATTTATTGACAACAAAGAGTACATTAAAACACAGATGATATGCATATCGTTATAGAGTACATCTGTACACACTGACATTCCCAGTCAGGATTCACGTACATACATAGAGTACATAAATACATACAGTACTGACACAGAAGTAACATGTAATATTCAGCAGCATAAACTTAAAGTGCTACAACAGTTAAACCACCTGACTGCCCTGCTATGGTTTCTGAAATTAGCTGACAGCAAGTGCAGCGTTCAGTGTCCTGCTCAGAGGTGGCCTTCAGAGCTGTTAAAGAGCAACATAACACCCTGAATACATCCCTTTATATGATCAAAATGGTGTGTGCTATGGTTAAATAACTGCAAAACAATATTTGAGAGAGGGAAAGCAGGCCCTCCAGTGCCAAGTTGATGCAGTGATGCAGATTTTTCTTTATTGGGGGCTTTAACTCCAGTTAAAAAAACAAAACAAAACTTGAACAGCACTGAGATGTGAAAGGTGGAAAGCTGCCTTTTTTAGAAGTCTTTATGTCCCAGCATGTGAATTCATCCAGCCATCTTTCTTTTCCTACCCAGGTCAGGGTTGCAGGGCTCGGACTTGGCGTCCACAGATACAGGATGAACAGGGAAATGCACAACTACTGACCCTAAATTTAAAACCCAGCCTATAAGGTGACAGTTCTAACTACTGCACCACAGGTGTGAATGTAAGGTAAAATAGGAACTCTTGAGTTGTTAAAAAGATGCCTAGAATCAGTGAAATAAACCCTTTTCCCTCCCAATCCTGGATAATTTTTATTCTGGTGCTGTCACCAGTAGAGTTCCACTTTGGCACATTACGGCTCACCTGGTTGAGCAGGTGAGCAAGCCGCATTTAGGTCCTGACTCAAGTCTTGAACATGACACAAAGCCCCTTCAGTGTGTCATAATAAGTATCTTTGTAATTATCTGTTTTTTTTACAATACAAATGTGATAAAGAAGCTCTTTGACTTTCCTTATTGAAAAAAAAAAAAAAACAAATCAGGAGAAAATCCCATTCACCCTTTGGGTAAACTTCTAATTTTGTCAACGAGTTGCTCAAATTAATGGCTTGTATGCAGTTTTGCTAGAGTAATCTGCTGCTCACTTCTGAACCTAATTCGACTGGATTTTGGCCTCAGTAACTGTGACTGTGAATTCAAGTCTTTGTAATAGCCAAAAAAGACATTTCATCTTTCACTTTATTGGATGTCAGTCTTTTTAAGCCTGTAACACACTGACCAGATTTAGCCCAGAAAACAATATTCATGGATGTCTCGTGCTTAGGCCGTCAATATCTCTCTGAAACTGGATCAGTGACCTGTACAGTAAACATGACTGAATATGAAATGCTGCTGATCGAACGATGGATTTAGTGTTAAGTTACACTTTAAAGCCCCAGGCCTCATCTGAACCCCAGCTCGTCACCAGCTGCAGGCAAATTCCAGGATTTCTAGGAGCACATGAACAAAATCAGGGCTTTTTCCTCCTCTTTTTATTTTTTATTGCCTTGATATCAGTAGAGCTCACTAAATATGATTCACTAAATTCAAAATACAGATACTTTATCACTAGTATGGCTATAATAGATTATCTATGGCTTCTTTTATACTGCTAGTGATTACAGGATTTTCTAGTGCACGAGTTCACCACAGTGCCATGCGCTTCCTACTGCTGTAACAGACGAAGGAATGACTTCACACATGTTGGACTGAAATTAACACTTTTTTTTAAAAAGGTTTTAAACCAGAAGTCAGAGTAGCTTGTTTCATCTGTTTGGTCAAGGCAGTGGGCAAAGCCTGTCACAGTGATGCATAGAGACGGCAGCACATACTGAACCTCTGCAGGAGAAAATGATAAGCAAAGGCCACAAAGCGAGCTCTATCTGTCGCCAGCGCACAGGAGGCTTGAAGAGGCTATGAAGATGACTTTATGCTCCCAGGTTTATCCATGTTATCATCTGAGTGGACATAATCAAACTGAAAGCACATTTATGATAAATATGCATCAGGAAGAACCAGGAGGTAATCCCATCTGACCCCTTCAGAATCAGCTGATTGTTTAATTATGACGTCCACATTTACAGGCCCACTTCAAACTTTATAAGTACCAGAGATGAGAAATTTAACCAAATTAATTCTATACTACAAAATCTGAACTTCACTATCATGTAAATGATCATAGTTTCAATAGTAAACCGGCTCTGGTTTAATGTGTCCGTGGCATACAGGAGAGGAACAGAAACAAGTGTTGGGACAGGGAGCTGCTCAGAACAAGTAATAGCATATGAAGTCAGCTTTTTACCTACATTTACTACTAAATTTGTTACTTTTGATTATCTCCTAGCTTTGGTTTCTTTAGTGTTAAAATCAGGACTTGACAGATGGCTTTGGGATGGCTCATGATTTTCCTTTGGAATAATCTAGTGTCCTTTTTACTCAATTTAATAAAGTTTCGATGGGATCTATCTGCTGCTCAAACACATTTTCTAAAACTTTGGTTAATTTTCAGGCTGTCGATTTAATCTGAGTCTTCTTCAGTGTTTTTGTGTAAGTTACCGCAAAGCGGTCTTCCTCTTTGTAGCTTTCCTGTGTGATATCATCATGCTTGTTGTGATATCATGTCATCATACATGAGACATTTCGTCTTTCATGCATGTGGTAATTGCTTGGCACTGATGCACGATCAAGTGAGAATGAACAGTTGGGGAAGTGTGTGACAGTTATTCACTTCATTCATTTATAAATAAACATGAAGGAACCCAAATTGTTGCTGTATTAGAGGCAAATTTACAAAAACCACTTAGTGTAAAACAAAGCTACTTCACAAGGATCGCCACAGCGGGCAGCTGCACATGCCTGGTTTTATGCACAACCCTCTGACGTAGCCGCTAAAGGAGAAACCCGTGTAGTGTCGCAGAGGAAATAACAGCGACATGAGGTGAAGTCGTAATAACAACATGTGAGGGCTTAGTTGACACAAGCCAGGATATTTGTAGTTCAGCATTTCTCTCAACAGTTTAAATGAAAATCTATTATTAGAGTTTAGCTACTGTAAATTCAGAACTATATTTTGAACCTCCTGTTTTTGATCTGCACATAGCATATTTATCTAGAGATGATAAAGGTATAGACTCTTCAAGCATCCCGTGTCTGTCTCTATCAGATTTGTTTCAACCTTTCACCAGATCTCCGAAATAAACTACCAGCAGGAGGAGGTGAGAGCAGGCTGGCGGTCCGGACTAACTTTGGCTCTCTGCAGAGATTATATAGGGTCACTATCACTTTGTTTGCTCAGTCAGAAACACAAAAAAATGATGCTGCCTGGTTATTTATTTATCTTTGTTGTGCTGTCAGATCAATGACAGCATGAACAGTCAGCGTTTTTAGCCATGGGATCAGTTTGAACATGATGGAGTTGCGGAAACATTTAGAGTCAGCATCAAGACAGGCTGGGAAACTTTCATTGAGCTGGAATCAAGCAAGATTTATGCTCGCACTTTATTTTATGGCACACTAGTAAGACGAGAAAATAAAAAATAAATATGAGTATGGACATTGGCAACCATGGATAATCATCCAAGAGTTATGACCTGTATCTGATCAGATAATTATATTACATTTACAAACTTCACAACAACATCCAGGCTGGAAGGGATTTGACATCCATCCACCCACCTACCCATCCATCCATCCATCCATCCATCCATCCATCCATCCATCCATCCATCCATCCATCCAGCCAGCCAGCCAGCGCCAGCCAGCCAGCCAGCCAGCCAGCCAGCCAGCAGACTAAACCTTTTCCTTTAGATCTTCTGGGGGGACACCAAGGCAAGTCCTAAGCCAGCCAAGCGATTTAATCCCTCCAGCATGTCCTGGGTCTGCTCCAGGGTCTCCTCTTACTTAGACATTCCTAAAATACCTCAACTAGGATGTGTTGAAGAAGCATCTTGGTCAGATTCCCAAACCACCTCACCTGGCTCCTTTCCATGTGGAGGAGTAATGGCTCTACTCTAAGCTGCTCCTGAATGACTAAACTCCTCGCTGTATCTCTAAGGCAGAGACATGATCCTGAGACTGACATGCTTACACCCTCCTCCCTTTGTGCATGCCTTAAAATTCAATCCAAAGAAGATTTGAACAGAATGGATGACAAATGGAAGCCTTGGCACTCACAGGGAACGATTTGAACTTACTACCATCTCGTTAAGTCTCATCAGTGCGGCGTAAAATGAAGTGCAACCAAATCTGTAAAGTGCAGAGTCTCGAAATCGACTGATATCACTGTCTGAGCCTCTGCGCTTATTTCTCAAAATATTGAACTATTCGTTTAACCTACTCATTCGTTTTTTTGTAGTTTTTATTTACAATCTCTAAGCTGTCAAAAGGTATCAATCACAGGCCACTGGCAATCACAAGTCTGAAGTCAGACCTTAAAAAGGGATTGAAATTAAATGGTAAAAGGAATGCAATCCTCACAGCTGTAGTTATAATCTGCAAATGTTTCACTTCTGTACTCAATTAAGGACTCATAACTGATCAATTTTAATGATTGACTGATTAACCAATCAACTAACACAACAGCAGACCAAAATATAAAAATATAAAAGTCCTGTCATTGTTCTTGTAAACCCCTACTAATGCATTTTAATGCTTTTTATCTAAAAATATATAAATAAAGTAGCTTGCCATAGGAGGGTTGTGGTTATGATAAACGTGTGTTACCTGCCAGTGCGGACACTAACCTGGACATTCTGGTTGTAATTTACCCCTGCGGTCACGTCAGTTTAATTTTCACCCATGCAAGGCGCAAAAGTCAAAGTCCGCGAACACTTCGTGGTGCTCGGCGGAGAGGCTGAAGGGCTTGGAGGGAGGCGACAGGGTTGGCTGGAGTTGAGTGAACTCGCTGTCGAAGTTGCTGACATCAGTGGGCTCCTTGATCGACGGCAGGAAGGGCGGCGTTACTTTCTTCGCTAGCAGGGCTTCCCAGTCGATGGTCTGGAAAAGAGCCACAAAGTAAAAAAAAAACAGGTTATCCCTGTGAGACTACGCTACCTCAGTTTCAGGCAGTTTTTTCTAATCCTGGCAGTGTATGATGTCATCGAGAAAATAGTTCAAACTTTGTGTTGTTGAGGGTGAGGCAGTAAGAAAAAAATGCTAAAAACAGCTAAAACAACTACTTTGTGAATGGAGTGGCTGCAACAAGGCCCAGTTTGAGATAAATAAGGATTATTTTGAACTGTGAATCATGCAAAGCTACTGTAGCAGAATCAGAGAATAAAAACATGGAGCAGAAAACAACAATAATAGGTTAGCTTTAGTACTTTGACTCATCAATCAATAATTTAGGAGATAGAGGTGCTTATAGAGCTTTGATGTGTCTGCACAGGTTAAGTCACCGTCTAATCAGTACTAATCAGTGCTTCATCACTCATCAGGCTGAATTAGGAGTACTAGACACTGATTATAACGACTACTCAGCTTGTTTACATATTGTTTAGATGTTTACGTCTCGGAGAGTAGTTCAGTGGAAAGAAAGTGAAGACAAACAGTTGATATGGATCCGATACCTCAAAGAATTTCTCTCCTTTGACCTCGTTTGCGTCCCTTTCTCCACCTCCGAGCCTTTTTAGTGGATTCTTCTTTAGCAGCTGTGAACAAACACGGATGTTTTCAGGTTTCTGGTTGAAATACATTACTCGCCGTATTTTATACTCAAATTTAAATCAGTAATTACAGGTTCTAGGATTAGGTTCTAAAAAGTGTGTGGTGCATTATGACGTTTTCACCAGAATCTTTCTGAAATATTATTCAGAAGTAAATATGAGTTAAGCAAAAAAATAGTTCGATCACCTCATTGCAAAAAGGATCTACATATGAACCTCCTGGAGTAGGGATGGGTACCGGTATCTGGTGCCATAATCTGACATAAACAGTAGTAACCAGACCGAAAAGCAGCGCACATTTCGGTGCTTTCTTTCTGTGCTTTTTTTTCCTGAGCTGTCATACACTTTGGATTCTAGCCAATCATTTTACCTTTCCAAGGATAGTAGGCGGGCCCAGGTACGTACGTTCTTTTAGAGCAGAGCTACAGATTAAAAATGCCCAAGGCGAAGCGATCAAAAGTCTGGCTGTACTTCACAGCAAAAGATGCAAACTCAGCAGCCTGCAACAAGTGCTTTAAGCTGATACTGTCAAAGGAGGTAACACCTCGAATCTGATGAAACACCTGGCGACGCATAGCGTTTTTTTAAAAGCCGAGAAATGCGCCGTATTTGATAGCTTGCTGCGAGACCTCACACCGAGCACATCTACTGCGGGTGTGGTAAATCTCCATTAGCGAGTTAGCGCGGATCGCCCCGTGCGTGGGGCTGGACAGTGCTTATCATTTTGCAGATAAAAAGAGACTGCTAAAAATAAAAACATGAGAGGTTTTTGGACAAAGTTTGTGTTCTCCATTCTTTAAGCACCAGTTCGAGCACCATTTAAGCACCAGCACCGTTTCAAAAGTACCGATTTGGCACCGGTATCGGATAAAACCTAAACGATACCCATCCCTACTCCTGGATGAAGTGAGTTTCCTCTGTGAACTCTAGCTGCCTTTTACAGTCATAAGAGATGTTTTTTACGGGTGATTCTAAACATGCTGTAGGTGCTGATGTGATAATGTGTGTTTATTAGCCTAGATGGAAAATGGCTATAAAAATAGATGCTGGGGTTTTCGTGGCTCATAGCGCCCTATTTGCACAGCTGGTTGGTTGACATTTAGATAAAGCAATGAGTCTCTATTACCTTACAGAAGAGTTATCTATGCATATTGTACTTAACATTTCATAAATGGCCAAAAAGAATTAAAATCCTGTCACAACTTGATGTGTGACTTATAAAAATAATCGAGAAATGCAGGACGCAAGAGGTCAAATGAAGGCAAATACCTTCTGGATGATGGCGACAGCATTGGGAGGAATGCAGGTGGGATACTGCACGTCATCATTAACGATGCTGTCAAACACCTCCTCCTCATCTTCACCAGGGAACGGAGACTAGCAGGAGGGTGGAAAGATGCTGAGTTAGGCTTAACTGAGATGAACTGTGGAACTTTGCATTGATCACTATGACATTAAAAGCTTTCAGCAAAAGCTGAACTGAATATGAGGTTATATATGAATAACCTCTCCAACAAGCATTTCGTAGATGAGGACGCCCATCCCCCACCAATCCACTGCTCGCGTATAGTTGTCGTCTGTCAGGACTTCAGGAGCAAGAAACTCAGGAGTCCCACAGAAAGTTGAGGTCCGATCGCCGTGTCCCATCCCTGCCGATACATCACACACTTCAGTCCTCTCAGATGGAAGTATGGAGAGTTTAAATCGTAAAACTGATTCTGTTTGGGTAGTAGTATAAAAGGTAAGGATGTGGCTACTGCTACTTGTGCTGAGCCAGAAATTAGAGTACAGACAGGTGTGCTGAATGGATTCACCTTCTTTACAAAGTCCGAAGTCTGTGATTTTCACAAACCCATCTGCATCCATTAACAGGTTGTCCAGCTTCAGATCTCTGTGTAAAACAGAGTACACAAACTGAAGGGTGCCAAATGTTTTCTTGTAACGTGAGATCACTTTGGCACTTATCACCTACCGATAGATGATTTTATTCAGATGCAGAAACTCTAAACCAAGCAGGACACATGCTGAGTAAAACCTGTACATGATAGTAACAACAGATCAGAGATGTTGGATAACAACACCTTAAAAAATACATTGATTTGATTTGTTTTCTTTGTCAGGGAAAGAAAACAAATCAATATTTGGAAATCCCTCAGGCAGTATGTCTACTCATTTTATGCACACCTGGTCTGAGCCTCGGTAAACACATCATTGTGGATGTGGATCATGAGGTCACCGCCGGGTAAATACTCCATGACGAAGCAGACGTGGTCGCTGGTCTGGAAGCAGCCGTGGAGGTTGACGAGGAACGGGTGCCTGGACGCGTTGATCATCTCAAAGATCCTCTTCTCGCTCATAAGACTGCAGAAAAAAATACATCACATTAGCTCATGTTACACTCAGCTATTATCCTCAGAGCTGCAAAGAGTGAGTTTTTCTTGTCAAGCTCAGTAATAACGTCCATGGCTGCAGTTCCACTAATGACCACTTGAGGCTGGTTCCAAAAGGAAGTCAATTCCCCTTGACTCCAGTGTTTAAATGTCCAACTTTACAGCATTAAAAAGCACGATTAGAAACTAGATACAAAAACAGTTTATTTATAGGCCATAAGAGACACTGAGTGAAGGCAAAACTCAAACGCAGCCCATTGATCTATAATCTGAGCTTTCTTATTGATAATCACGTAACGTGCACCTGCATGCAGATTTAAAGCATTCTTGTCCACTCACCTGTCCACTTCATCACGAGTCACAATGTCTCTTTTCTTCAAAGCTTTGACAGCATACAATTTTCCGGTCTTCTTAAACTCTGCCAGCAGGACCTGGAAAACATTCACAGCAAATCTAACCCTGATCAGCTGAGGACAAACAAGAGAAGACGTTTGGCTCAGTCACAGTGTTTTACAGAAAAGCTTCAAACTGTTACCTTCCCAAAGTGTCCTCTGCCAAGAACTGAGATATACTTAAAATCTTCCACCTGCATCCTTTTGGGGAAAAAAGACCAAAAATAGAAAATAAGGATGGTGCTTAATTCCTAATTTTTAGAAGAGGACGTGGAGTGTGAAGTGTGTGAAGACATGTATGTGTGTGTGTGTGTGTACTTTAGAGCAGATACAGGCTGATCTTCGCTTTCTTCTATGGAGGACTGCAAATAAAAATTCAATGGCAAATTAGAGCTCAATAAGAACATGTTTAGATCTTCTAAAAGCTGCTGTTTAAACCTGTGATATCAGCAGAAAAATTAATGTTTTTGGCCGTTATCACATCACAAAGCTGCCAGTGTGGCTTTAGATCCTTACTCTTAGTGCTTATAATCTGTTACTGGATACGGTTTCACTCTTCTAAAGCTAATTTGTCTCTCGCTACATATATAAATGTGTAAACTCTGAATGCACTGGCATGTCAACTATTGATAATGACTTACCAGTTTTTCTTGCAGTGTGGGCACAGATGATGTTCGGTGCACTGCACTGATGATGCCAGCTGTGTTTTCTTCCTGGTCGAGGATGGTGGGAGAGGGCTGATCCTCAGTGATGCTCAGTCTGATTACTGGAGCTTCGCTGCAGCCCCACAGAGACAAGTGTTGAAAAATGTAGTGAGATAGTAGAGAGTCAAAAAATACTGAGAGAGGCCAGGACCTGGAGGCAAACTACTGACATTATCATTGGAAAAGTTTTATCTCCTCACAGTACTATATACATAAAAATAAAAAAAATCAAGCTAAAATACACAATAAGAACTATCTATCACAATGTGAGATGAACTTATGATTAGTTCATACCTTGGCAGTGAAGTGGTAGTTTGAGGCTCCTTTTCAGTTGCATGGGGGGCGTTGTTGACCACCAGGTCAGGGGTCGCAGAGAAAGATGAGCTGAATGTGGTGAAGGAGCTGTAGCGAGGGAGGATGCTCATCATCAGATGACCCCAAGTGGCAAAGTTCATGTTCATCTGGGCTGCTCTGAGAAAGTTCTTCCCTGACAAAGAAAACAAATCAAATCATCATTTCACTGCAGAAACACACATTCAATCTGAATAAATCTGTTTGGGGGCTTTTGTGTTTGTACCTCTCTCTTTAGTGAAGATGCACCGCTGACGTCTCAGCTTTGGCTGCCGTTCGAGCACAGTGTCAATAAATCGAAGCTGTAAGATACAAATCAAACAGATTTCTTTTAACTTTTGAGAAATTAACTGCATTTCTATCCAACTGGGATGAAGAAGCATGGCTTATATTGCACCTTATTGGCTGTGATAGTTGGCACTATCTGATTAATGTGTGGATTAATTTGAGACAGAAAAAAGGCAAAGTGTCACAGTGAAAGGCTCAAAGCTGTGAGTGTGGTGCCAAAGCTCACCCAATGTTAGATTTCTGTTCCTCGATAAGACTCTACTTTGTTGAATCAGAACATAATGTGGAGCATATTAGATTTCCTGCAACCACACTGAAATCCGTCAACATGCAGCTCTTTATGGGACTCTGAAGTGTGTTGGATTAATGTGAGAATGTTAAAATGAAATAATATTGACTTTAAACAGCTCACTGAACACTTTTAAAGCACGTTTGCATCTGATTTTCCCTCCTCTCAGGGCTGGATGACTAACAAAAGACTGAGCAGATTAAGTTTGCCACTTACCACTTGAACATCTCAGTGTTGTCCAACTGATGTTGTAAAAAAACAAACCTGGACCCATCACTTACCACGAGTTATAGGTCCATCTAAAAACCTCCTTTTATAAGCCTTCCAGAACAAGAGAAAAGGTTGCTGGGACGCGATTAAGCAAAGTTTTGGAGATGCACAGTATTCTTTCAGTCTGGTTTCAGAGAGTTACACTCCACTAAAGAGCTCTCCTTAAAGTCTCCAATGACCTTTTGATGGCTGCAGGTAAGACTGACTGTTCCAAGTCTTTGCTTTCATCAGCCTTTGAAACCGTTGATCATCAGCTTTTGATCCACAGGTCAAACAGCATGGCAGTGATTTTGGTTTACCTCACTGGTTTACTGATTTTTGGGTTCGGTGGGTGAGTTTTGGTCTGATTTTGCTTCTTTATCATTCAGTTTTTTCTTGGTTAAGTTCTCTTTTATATTCACTGTATATCCTCATTAGGTCATATTATCAGCAGTTTTAAAATTGTTTCTTATCATTTTTATGCCGAGATCATTCGACTGTACCTCTCTTTGAAACCTCACGAACTGGATATCCAGCTCAATCGACTGTCTTAATGCAATCAGGGTGCAAGGCTAGGTGACAAATAATTGCTCCTGAGAACATCAGTGCTCAAGCAGCTAGTGGGGTCCCTGTCATTCACAGTAAACTCTAACATGTGGAACCGTGGGATCATTTTTGATCAGTCCTTGATGTTTGATGCTCACAAAAAGTCTCTGACCCACTCTTGTTTTTTCCAGTTAGTAAATCTTGCTAAACTTTAGTCTGAAAAAGTGATTTGGAGATGCTTGTTCATGCCTTCATCTCCTCTCACTTGGATTATTGTAATCCACTGTTTTTTCATCTGTTAATCGCCTCCAGTCTTTTTGCATTGACTTCCTGTCAGGTTTAGTGTTTAGTTTAAAATCTTAAAATCTCCTGCCTTTCTGGATGTGACCTGTAGGAACTTGGTTTGATGCTGAGGCTAACTTTAGTGGATGACTTATCAGGCTTAATGTCGGCATTTACTACAACTTTTTCTGGTGTATATCTAGTATAATATGATTAAGCCGATTAAGCCGATTGCTCTCTTTATGCCGTATGTGTGTATCTATGTTTTGTTGTTCTTTGCCACTGCACCGTACACAAGGCAGGTGGTTGTATGTACCTTAGTGTAGAGGAGGCCCTGTGGCTCTAAAGTTATCCCCTGGTTGATGATTGGGTTTTCCATCATCTCCTCCAGTCGCAGGAACTTGACTGCACACATCGCCCTCTGGTCCCGCCAGAAGACACCGACCTCCAGCTCCCGGGACTGCCAGCAGAGCGAGGACCAGCAGAGAAAACACAGACTGAAGGTTTGAGCGGGAAGTGAGCACCACCATGACTGAAATGGTAGTAGCAACATGTTGTGATTCATTTCTGTTGCAATTGAGAATCTTTAGAAGAGGTTCAATCATGTTTGTGATCACTGACTCATTGTTGTGAGGCTGTTTTTATCAGATTAAAGGAAGCCTGTGAGTATTTGCTGGAGTCTTTAAAGTTTCACTGTGGATTGGTGAGAGGAGTAAAGTTACTTATTATATTTCAGTTTAACTGAGTGTTTCTAATTAATAGAGCCAAAGGTTGTCTGCAGCTGTTAGTGAATAAACCGGTGATGTTTTTAAAAATCAAAATGTCAAACAATATCTTCAGCAAAGTTAATTGTTCTTTGCTAATTTCAGGATGTTCTTCTTTTTCTTACTGTACTGCAAATTGGAAACCAAGTTCTTGAAACAAACAAGCATCTACAGTACTAAGCATGTCTTTAGCTCAGGCTGTGATGAACTAATACCTGCAGGTAGAGGGCGACCCCTGCTGCTCTCAGACTGAACTGCAACAACAATTTAGTCTATGGCGCAAGAATGTTCACTGCTGGAGTAATGGGTAGGAGGGTTCGGTTCATCATGATGCACAACAGCACCCACGATACACTAGAATTTAATGGCTTCCTGCCAGTGAAACATGGAGTAGGGCTCAGCAGATGAGGAAAAAACTCATTTTACTAGTCACTTTAACTTCATGGAAAAAGTGGCAAAAACAAGGAAAGACGTGAAGGAACATAACAAAGGCTGTAATAAAAAAAAGAAAGAAAGAATGAAATAGCTTATAGAGTGAAAAGATGAGTGAAAAAAGTGAAAAACTCCATTATAACCCTAAAGACTGCAATTATAGCTCTTAATCTTTATTTATATCATGATTTTTATACATTAAAAATGTTGTCACAGCAAAGTAATGTTCAGAATTTATCTGTGGTTATTACCTGCAGTTGTAGGTTCAGATTATCATGTGAAATGGAAAACACATTAATGATGGCTCAGTGTATCCTTTGCTATAATAAATGAAGCACTGAATCACCTTTCCTGCATATTTAAGAAGCTACAAGCAGCTCTTATTACGGCTGCAGATACGTCAGGGTCGCTTTACTCACTGCCCACAAAACTGTATTCATCTACAAGATTTTAATACAAGACCTTCATCAGGCAATCAGCTACTTTATTTTAAAGGTCATATCTATACATGTGTAGATTGTAGATTTTAACTGTAATTGTTAAGCATTTATTGAATAACTATTATATTAGATATAATTTTCATGGTGCTGGACTTGTTGTGATGGGTTTTGGAATTTTATTAATTATTTTCAGACCCTTTTGTTCTCGTTCTTCATGGTTATTTGGTGATATTTTAATCTCTTAAGCTGGGATTCGTGGCTTATATGGTTGAGGCAAAATGAGGCGCTCCCTGAGAGTAAAATCTCAGAGCAGCACAGAAGTGTAAAGAAGCATCCAAGGGTGGAGTGAAACAATAATTCAATACGGTAACTCGACTCCATCACTGGCTCTGCGTTATTTAAGGTTGCAACCACATCAGATTTTCTCTTTCTTCCTCATGGCAAAAGAATTGCACTCAAAATAAGAGGATGTGCAGAGCATCTGTATCTATAACTGCAGAAAAGATCGCCCTGACTGAGTTGTCAATGTGTGCTAAGGCTGAAAGTGCCAATCAAAAGCTCACCAGGAACACATCAGTCCACATGCAAAACCATCAGCCGACGTCTTATAAGCATTCAGATGGTTATGTTTATAGTAAAGCATCCAGCCAAAGTATTGTAAGACTTCATTCACACTCACCAAATTTAAACTACAACAATGCATAAAAGCTTAATCTATTTGTTTTAACTGGACTTTTTGACTGACCTGCTCTCTGAGATTTATTTTCACCATTTAGCTGCATCTATTTTTTTATTCCCCCTCTCTCATCTCCACTTTTCATTTGACCATCCATTACGCTGGAAGTCGCCTAATGTGCTGTGCAGAGAAGCACTTACCTACTGCAGCCGTGCTGGGTGAAAAACAGAGAGGGCTGGGCTGGGCGAGGGCACACAGTGTAAGGTGAATCTGACGAGATCTTCTACTCCTGACTTTGTCTATTTTGTCCCAGTTCTTCTGAACTAAACTCAAAATAGTCAAGAAGTGTGCTTCAATTAATTGTGTTCTTTCCAAAGGAACTCGTTAAGACCTTGGGGCTGTGTTTTGGTTTTATGTTGTTTCTCCCAGTTCATATGTCCCTGAGAGGAGTCTCTTCATACTGTCATGGTCCTTGGCTTTGTGTTGTTTTGGGGTTTTGAATTCTTAATTAACATATTTGGGTTTCTGTTTTGGGGTTTATAGACTGGACTTTAGATTTCTGTGTTTGTTGTTTATTATCTTTATTCAGTCTTTGGTTCCAGTTTTACACTTTAAGGTTTTCATGGTAATGGCTTTCTGTTTTGTGTGTTTTGGCTCCTCTTTAACTTTCATGTTCTTACAGTGACTTTGGGTGTTTCTGGTTTCTTTTATTGTTATTAGTTTCTTCTTAGTCTTCTTGTTTCCACCCTCTTCTCTTTAGTCCAGCTTTCTTTATCATTGTCCTTCTGTTCCCCCTGAATTAGTCCATTCATGTTTAGTCTTTCTTTGTTTCAGAAATGGTTGGTTGTTCCTTTCCTGTTTTATTTTGATAGATGTCTGTCTGTCTCATTGTCCTCACCTGTGTCTGATCCTAATCAGCACTCTGTGTATCTGTGTATCTTCCCTCTATCAAGACATCTTTTGATGTGCCTGCCCTTTGCTGACCTCTTTGCTTTTGTGGATTTTGTTCTCATTTGGACTTCATTTCATTGGCCATCAAAGCATGCTATTTGTTGGGGCTTTCTGACTTCTGCCTCCTACATGTGGGTCCTTATTCCTGCTCATTGCGATACATGTGTGTAGTCTGATTACTCTCTGACCTGCACAGCGCCCTTGTACAGTCTATATGGTTGGGTGCTTGCTATATTGTTCCTGTCAGCACATGAAGTGTTACTACAGCATGTACTAAGCTGCTGATGCTGTTTTTATCTGCATCAATGTCACACAGACAAAGGTCATAACAAGAAGAACAGATTGTAATGGATCTTGTTTCCTTGAAGTGTGCTGCACAGCAACTGAACAGTATTCAAACAGCGCCTCATTTCTGTAATTAGAAACAGGATGATTGGGAGGGAAGTAAATGGGCAGGAAGGCCAGTTTGAACGTGGGCGGTGTGGATTAGAGCGAACATGAAAAATGACTCACAAATGCTGAAAGCTGGCTCGCCGTTGCAGCGGTTTAAATCATGGGGAAAACGAGAGGAAAATATGTGCTACTCTGTTTTTCTGCAGTTTAACTTCCCACTATAACTGATATGATCAAAAAGTTTAGTAAAAGCTGCCAAACATGAGCGTACCCTGACATGATGTTCCAGAAACTCGGAGCTAATTAATGCTGCGACTGGTAGCCCTGAGATTTTTGTTTGCAGAAATGCTGATCAGAGTTAGTTCAATCAACTCTGAGTGTCGTCACCCTGAGTTAAGGCCATGAGTAATGAAAGAAAGCCCTCATTAGTGGAGCTCGGGTAACTTAATTCACCACGGCAACAAGTATTTAAAGGGTAGGGCCTTTTATTTTTTCTGCGTCGTCCAGTCATTATTTACCCAAATTTTCATTAACAGATGAAGCCGAGGGGTGTACTACGGAGTGAGACTGGTGGGTTAGTGAGCAACGTTGAGTTTAAAGTCAGTTTCACAAGGGTGGCCGCGGTAAGTTATGCTTCTTTCAGTTTAAAATTGGAAGCGTCTCCTCTTAACTCATTCTTGTATTTACAGCATGTTTGAGCGATGATTGATCTAAGAGCGATCCCTTTTTGCAGAAGACGAGTCATGTGACACATGAAATGCCCCCTTTTAGCCTGAAGCAGAATCCTGGTTTGACACACACCGTTCATAACCCCTGTTCAACTGGGGTTTTTCGTTTTGTCGAGCCAGCTAACACAAAGAAAGCCTGGTTTTACAGAATTCACTTCTTAATATATACCACTGGAATTTGAGCAGATTTTACATTTCATTTGTAAATCAAATTATTCAGCTGTAGCCTGACAGTAAAGACGTGTAGATCACACAGATTACATGGTAACTGAGTCAGAGTTTACGTTAATTCTCTTTCTGGAACAGAAAACCTAGAGTTTCCCTGATCTCAGGATTATTAAACTCTTTTCACTAAACCTGCTTCTGGAACAAAGCCCAGGTTTCTGACAGTCCCCTGGTGCTTAAACTCCAGTTGCTTTAATTCATGCCAACCTGTTGTTTCAGTTTCCTGAAATCTGATTCTGATTGAATTTTTTTGTTTTACTGGTGCAGGCTTCTTTTAAACCATCCTCACTGCTTTCGTCTCTACAGCTTGAGGTAAATATGTTTGATTGTGTGACGTGGCAGACTGCAGATGGTGAGAAACGTGATTCTGATTCACTAACATGAGCTCTGTGGTCAGAACAAAAATGACTAGTGAACATGTTTCATGAATCTGATGGTAATTTTGAATGTGCACTTTGTGTTTAGTGTATTAACATTTCACTGAATGAGACCCATTATGACAAAAGAGATGAGCAACAGTCTGATAAATAGACATAATTTATGCTAGGAAATAAAAATGGACTATTACTTTGTTGTTTTCCCACTCCTCAGTTAACGTGGTTAACTAAGTATCTGATGGTGTGTAGGGACTCACCCGCTCTAGCTGGATGTAGAACGTCTGGTCCCAGCTCAGCCTGCTGATGGATGCCCAGCGCGTCCGGCCGACCACTCTGCCGTCCAGCCTGAGCACACCACTGATCTCTGTGAGACAAACGTTTACGTTTTACTGGCTGTGTCCTGAACAGGCTTGATTTTTACAGCAGTGAAGATTTACATGAATGTTCATTTTATTTACTAGGTGCTTTTAATTTGTAAATCCAACATAATTCTAATAATTCTGACAACTTTGTCTAACTAATCAGGGGCTTTTATACTGAAAATATGACACTAAATCATCCTGATAAATTTTGTATTACTAACTGAAGTCTTAAATTTTGAAAATCCAACATTCAACCTGAGAGCTTTCTATAAAAGGTTTTTATTTTCAGAAACTGGGGTTAGTCTGCTGGACCCACCAAAGCAGTAGAATATGGATGAATGAGTAATAAACAATAAATCAATGCGCACCCCTGCACGCAACTTTTTCTAGATATTATTCTTTGTACCTTTACATTGAAGGTTCAAGGCTGGTTTTGAGCAGGTGCAACGCATAGAGGTGCTTTGTACCTTAATGAATAAGAAACACCTGTCAATGGTCCAGCAGCACTACCTTAGAGGGTACCTCCCAGTAATTATCCACCGTACTCTTAATGGTACAAAAGTACTTTTCTGAGAGTATCATGTGAATCTGACTGGAGCCAGACGGTTCGCCTTCCAAAAGATCAAGTTTATGAAATCATGCTGGTTTATTTATCTTCTATTTTAGGAAAATAACAACTAAATGTCAGGGCATTTAACAAAGGACCTTTCAACACCCTTGACAGAGGATATGATATAATTTAAAGTAATAAGCTCACTTATTGTAATAGATTACCTTTAAAAGCACTCCATACTTCACAAAAAAGTAGGTTAACCCATTGAGCACGGCACCAGATTTCAGTGTTCGGCTGTGACACTGTGGCACTCTCATACTGATGTAAATGTCTTTTTAAAACAGAGACCGGGAGTCACACTATTCATGCAGCTAAATGTAATCTCACGTGAGCTGGAATTAATAAAGCTGTTTAATAATCTTTCTTTTATTGTGCAGAGTATGCTCTAAAGTGTTTGCATTTACTGAATCCATTTAGAAAACACTGTAAAAGTGACCAGATTGTCAAACCTTCTGCTTGCAAGAGACAGCCAATCAGAAGAAAGTTGGCTTGTTGGAGAAGTTAGGATGTTGTTTGAGCTTGTTTGAGTCAGAAGATGATCTGAAGTGCTGCACAAAGGCTCAGTGTAAGTTAAATAAAAATTATTTTGAATTGTTAATGATGCAAAGCTATCCTAGTAGAGTGCAAAAGCAAAAATGTGGCACTATAAATGAACATAAAAACGTCAATTTAAATATTTCCTTGTTCCAACTAAGATGAAATCACTCGTGTCCAAGGAAACATTTTAAAAATGCAAAATGTCTGCTTACCTGGAGGTCCGTCTGGTTTGTGAGCAGCTGGTGTCTCTGCAGGGTTTGGATGGTCTTCTTGTTCTGAATCTCCCAGAGGTTTCAGTAAATCCTCACATCCAAGAAGCCGGACTTCAAGTTTGCCTAAAGACATTTTTAAAAAAACAAAACAAACTTTAAGATTCTAAAAACATCCTGAAATGATCACTAAACGATTATATTCTCACAAAATACTTAATCACTACATTATGTAACAATGCCTCCCCTTCCCAGGTCCTTAGTAATGAATTGCATTTAAGACCAAAATGAATGGAGCCTTTTAAAATAAAACCTTTTCTTTTTCTGCATGAATAAATCTCTCATGCTTCTAATCAGCGCTGTCTGGAGCTGCTCGCTGAGCATTCACATCCTCATTTTCTCCCTTTCTCCGTACTGCTAACAGCTGTGAAGCACAAAATCACCCCGAGTGAGACCCGATCTGAATGCTCGCCGCATACAGAGCAACTCCAGGATTTGTCTCCTCGTTACATCATCATCATGAGGCTTTTTTTTGCCTTTTTAGTCTCCAGCAGGGAGAGATGGGCTTACAAGTGAACTGTCCAAAACCAGCAGATTACATGTCTGATTATCCACTGCCAGAGGTCAGCGTATGGTTAGCCATGTTCCAACACTGGGCAGGAATGGTGCCGCTAGAAAGAGCTGTGTGTTAGAGAGGAAAAAAACATAAAGCTTTCTTTTAGATGTAGGTGTTTGATTTTTAAAGGTCAGTAATAATTTCACACAGATTTCCTGGGAATAACTACTTAAAAATAGTGTTTAATTAGTAGACTTGCAATTAGTTAAATCCAGTTATCTTCCGGTCTTCTGAATGTACTAACACATAAAATGTGTCTATAATTAAACATATGATTCTGTAATAAGTGAATGATTTGTGTTTAAAGAGAGCCGTTCCTTCATGAAATTCAGTTTCCTCTGTAAGCTTGTTTGTTAGTTTCTTCCAGGAGCAGGAGGTTATTGTGGAGCTAAAGAAAATAAAATGAGAAGCTGAATAATCCCTTAAAACGTGAAAATCAGGTCTGTCTCATAATCTCCAAATGACTGAGTGGGTTCATTTATGCACGCATTTTGTTTTTAACATAATTTTATTGTAATTTTCCACTTCTGATCACCACATTATGTTTAGTAGTGAACCATGGCAAACAGACTATAATAAAGATTAAAAACAACCTGATTATGATAAATTCGATAAGAGCAGAATGACCAGATTGGAGCAACGTTTCCTGGTCTGCTGTATGAGTAGATGGTGGGATCAGAATCTGACATAAACAAGAATTGTATTGATGTTTCAGGCTGCTGGTGATGTGACGTGTATGATAGTCAATCTTAAAGTAGTCATGGAGAGAGATTTCAGGTATTTAAACCATCATTAATAATGACAGGCTCCTCCTCCTTTCAGCTGCTCCTTTTAGGGGTCACAATTTAGATCATCTGTCTACATCTCAGCCTCTCGCTGGCATCCCCTCTGTCAAACCTCTACATGTCATCCTTTATTACATCAGGTGCCTGGAAGCTCCACATTCAACATCCATTGCCCAGTTTATCCTCTCAGTCCCGCCTCTAACTTTGTCTCCAAACCGCTCATCCTCAGCAGTCTCTCTGATGTCATTATTTCTAATCCTGTCTATCCTGGTCATTCCCAATAAAAAACCTCGATATCTTCACCTCTGCCACCTCCAGCTCTGCTTTGTGTCTTTTTCTCGGTGCCACCATCTCTAAACCAAACATCAGAGCAGGTCTCACTACCATCTTATAAACCTTCCCTCTCATGCTCGCTTCTATCCTGCCACAAACCCACCTGACACACGTCTTCACTCACTCCACCCTGCCGACACACTCTCCTTCCCCCCTCTCATGCACTGTCCATTTTAGCTTTAGATAATGCTGACAGGCTAATTCATACTTAATGCACTGTGCAACCTTCACTAAAAACTATGTTATGTATATTCTTACAGATTTTTGGGGTCAAATTATTGAAACATTTGACCCATGACTATACCTATATCTCAGGTATGATCTAGTAAATTAATTTGCAAACAGAGCTGTCTCTAAAAGTACACTTTTAAATGTAGGTACTGCTCAGAAAAAGCATAGTTTGTGCTGGTACCGGTTAAGGAGGCAGGTCTGATGGAGAAGACGGATGGCGAGGTGGAAAGGGGACACCCAGTTGTGGGGTTTTGGGTAGAAGGAGGTCCCCCTCCTGCAGGCTGCTGTAGAGGCTCCTGTTTCTTTTCCTTCAGGCATTTCTCCAGGGAAAGCTGCAGAAGACCCAGTTTCTGGGAGGATTCCTGCACCCGAGCCTGAGCCTGCAAAGAAGATAAAGACTATATTGTTGTTTGGGCCTTTTAAATATAGGCTGTTTAGTATTTTTGGATATTGTTTGTGCTGCTTTACTTCCAACATAAATATATTTTTTAGACTTTAGATTTTATATTTTTATTTATTTTGCTTTATTTTGTGTTTTTATTATATTAGCTAATCAGTGAAAGTGATGCTCAGAACACAACTAAACACAAACCAGAGCAAACATGAAAGTTAATATTTAACATTTCCAGCCCCATGTTTGTTCTTACCCTATACTATAATAGTCTTGCATGAATCACACTTCAAAATCATCTTTCTTTATCTGATACCGGACCTTGGTGCCGCCCCTCAGTTCATCCTCCATCTGAAAAAGCAGTTTTAGCTGCACAGTACAGCCAGTCTCCATTTTTTTCTTTCTTTCTTTCTTTTCTTTTTTTGAAAATTCTTCAGATTTTTTAGACATGCCTTAAAACAAACTCCTTTCTCCTCTTTAAAATAAATGTGACTGAGAGTCCTACCTCAGCCAGGGCCTTCCGGTCCAACGATGAGATCCCTTCAAGCTCCTTCACCACATCTTTGGCCAGCACCAATGCATCTGACTCCCTCTGCACATAGTGCTGCAACTCTACCAAGCGAGCATCCACGAGACTCGCAGTGAGGGGAGATATCTCTGAGAGGGAAGAGAAAGAGAGAGTCTTGATACCTGCTATCAGTATTCCTAAATAAGAAGTAAACCCTTTTGTCTTAAATGTCACTGAGTTAAAAACACTACATTTTCTATGTGTCTGGCATTCAGCTGACACTTTTTTGAAATGTAGAAAAGCTCTAAAAGGAAGGATTAAAACATCGCAACTAGGGAAGACCCTTCAAATGTTGCTATGTTGATACAAGAAGAAGAACACTGCATACTAAATAAACCCAGAAGTGAAAGAATCCTGTTTTCTCTTGCTGCTTGTTTTTTTGGGGTGGGGGTTTAAACGTAATTCTTAAAATTAATCAAAACCAGTGACTGACAAGAGCTGCAGAGTAATTACACTTGTGTTCTATTCAATTGATTTTATTTTGTTTTGAATTTTCATTAGTCTGCTACTAAAAGTAGATGTTTGCAAACTGGATCCGGTGACCCTGAATCATCCATTAGTTATGCTGCTATAGGCTCAGGCAGTTGGAGAACTTCCCATGATGCACTTAGGTAGCATTTATTGTACCATGCCCATGCATTTACACACCACTACTGCATTAGCTCGAGTCTTCTCTCTCCTGTAATTGGTGTTGTGTCCTTGTCTCTCTCTTCTTTCTTTTGTTTCCCTGCACCCACCCCTACAAGTCTGGTTCTCTTCCTATTAAAATGAGTTCTTTCTTCCCACTCTCACCAAATGCTTGCTGACAGGGATCATCAGATCACTAGAGATCTCTCTCTTTTATTTATATACCTTGCATAGAGGTAAATGCAGTTCAGAACACTTCACGAATGACTGACCTAATTGATAATAAGACATAACAAAATGTAAAAAAAATGGGCAAATTAAAACAGTGGTTGAAACATCAAAGACATTTTTAAATAATTAAAGTGAACCAAATAAAACTGTAAACAATCAAAAAAAAAAATACAATACTGAACAGAGAGAATCATTGTGCAATAGAATAAACTGTACAACACTCAAAAAGTGGAGCTGCACGCTGTGGCGACCCACTGTGAATAAGGAGTACCTAACTATTAGTAGATTTATGCTGGATGACCAGAGGGGCTGTACTGGTTCATTCGCTGTCACCATGTCTGACATATACACTGGAGTGAGACTAGGAAGTACTTTAAAAAAAGAGTAAAAGGGTATTTTTAATTAATATGGATACATATGGAGGTCTACTTAACAATATAACTTGGTTCGGATGACTGTTGTTGTCACCTGAAACATGAAATATATTTAGGAATATTTTTGAGAATTAAAGGTATCAATAAATTTAACCAAAGCAACATCAATGGAAAGGTTGCTACCGCAACAATAATGCCAATGTAATTTATGGTCTCAACTCAACCATAAGTCAATGAATTATTATTGTCTTGGTCTCTGGGTTTGGCCTGTGACTTACTGAATCACACTTTTTCTGGCCCCTCTGAGTCTGAGGTGATGGTTTTCAGTCAAAAGTGAGGAGTGCTCACTTGGGGTTGGGAACGAGTTGCTGTCTTAATTGAAGGCGTAGTTGAAGTATCTTGGGGCTCTTGTTGAGGGAAGGAGGGAAATAGAGGTTGAAAGGGGGATTTGTGCAGCTGCTGTATTATTTCAGATGCTGTACTGGTCTGCTGTAGGGAACTGAATTTGAAAGCAAAGGTGTCGATCTATATTACTGACCTCACCTATGGCCACAAGCTGCTGGCAGTGACCAAAATAATGAGGTCACGGATTCAAATGACGAACATGAGCTTTCTACAAAGGGTGTCTGGTGTTTGGTAGGGTCTCAGAGTAGAGCTGCTACTCCTCCACATCAAAAGGAGCTAATGTTTAGGGATACCTCCTGGACGTCTCCTATGAGGTGTTTTAGGAATATCCAACCGGACTTGATTATGTCTCTTGACTGGCTTGGAAATCCATCAGTCTCCCATCAAAACAGGTGAAGGAGGCGCATGGATGGGTGGATGGATGGATGGATGGATGGACTGAGAAAATCATTTGCTAGAGTCAGCCTTTGCTTTTACACATTCTGCTGACACTTGGATACAGTGAATGAAACTGCCTGCTGTAGTAAAGAGGGCCTTTATTAGCTGTAGATGATAACATTTTAAGAAATCAATGAGAGGAAAAGAGGTCAGAGGTCCAAGAAAGGAAATGGGACCTGAGGAGCCATGGTATAGAGTTACTTGTCTCATATTCCGTCAGGCAGGAATCGTTTTTTTAAACATTACTTTCAGAGTTTCACAAATGGCACGTATCGCCAGTTTAGAATTAAATGTCGCACTTACACTCTGTCTCTAATAATCCTGTCAGAGCAGTTTCACTAGTGCAATATACTCTCATCATAACTGGGACAGGAGACTGTTGGCAGGAAATGTTAAAGTACTCACATCACAGTATCTCTGGATCAAAAATTCATACTTTTTCACTTACAAGAAAAGCTTTTGAATTGTGATCTGTTGTTGGAAAGCATTAGTCAAACAGATAATCCCCTTTCAAAAAATGGAAGCTCTGGCAAAACCTTCATTAAAGCGCTAAATTTTCAAACCACATATCTGCATGCACTGAAAACTCGGTTGCTCCTTCTGGGTTAACGAGACAAGTTATTTGAAAATCTGACAGAATTGTTGTGACTGGCCACGGGCAATATAATAGATGATTTCACGCCTCTTTCAAGGTAATTTGCACACTTAAATAAAGTAGAAGAACAGAGTATTATAGGGGGACTCACTTGTCCCAGCACTCTGACCTCCATGAGTGGAGCTGTTAGGGTTTCCACCACCATCAACACCACTGCTGCTGCTGCCAGCCTGGGCGACTTTGATAATCTGCAGTCGGATCAGCTCAATCTTAGAGCGGCTATCCTGAAGCATCTGCTGAGCCGTGGACAACATCTGATCCTGGATAACAACATCACATCAAGAGACAACAAGCCTCACTTCATCACAGACAGGTCAGCTGGGACTGGAGCAGCATGCTGATTGAACACAGACAGAGTTTAGTGGAACGTGTGGTGTAACGTGAGGAATTCACCAGAGAGAGGGTTGCACACACAACTCATTTACATATTGGACCAAAACAAGAGCGAAAGTAGACATGGACTAAGTGTGAATAACCTGCTCAGATCAGATGGAAACACTATGACTTTGCACTTCACTCACCTCGGGGTGATTCTTCGCTCCTTGCTGAATAAGGATTAATCTGTCATCCTCTGTGGAAGTGGCGGGAGGGGACTTCTCAGGTTGCGCCTCTCCACCTTCACTATCCTTGAACCACAACAAGTCCCCTGATGTGATGGTGCGTTCACAGACACACTGACTGCCTGCTTCCTCGGATGCAGCTCCTACATCTTTAGACCTTGATCAAACAGCCTGTACTCTTGTTTGTTTTCTTCTTTCTTCCTCTACAACATGCCATTCCCACTGCATCCTCATCCTCCGGTCTGTAATCAAATCCAACCCCCCCTCCCCTGTCTCTTTTAGATGGGTTTCTTTCTGCAGAGTTCCTTTCCAGTGCCAGCACTGCTGCTGCTGCTGCTGCTGCTCTGACAGCACCGATTGCCTTCTCAGGGCTCGGCATTGGCCGTTGCATGACCACATGTTCCTGCTCTGCCACCAACCAAAAGGCAAGCAGAGCTGCTGGTGCTCTCTTTGGGACAAAGCAGAGAAGAGCCTGCGGTGCTTAGGAGATTTGTTTAACCTCCTCTAACAAGAATGAGATGAGAGACTTAAATAACTACACTGATAGCAGGAGGTGGGAAATCAGTTCCTGGATATAATGATGTAGCCTGTCTGGCTGTTTTTTACTGACAGCGTGGATTAACAGTCACGCATGACAGCTCTGTGGTTGTGGTCTCCCACTTTACTGCCTGTCAAATTGAAAGCAATTAACGTAGCTACACAATAACACACTTGAACAGACAATCCATCACACTTGCCCTAATTAGGCTGTTACACATCCAGCAGCTTGAAATTGTCTCATTAAAACGTGTACATGCCAAAAGGTGATTTCTAGTATTTTTTTTTTTAAACAGATTGTGAGTATTTAAAGTGCTGTAAATGATTTGTTGGGCTATAATTTGTCCAACATATGTCTCATGAATCATAATGAGTCATTCTGAGCCAGAAAGAACATTCCTATCAAAAGGTAGGTTTTTGGCAAAGTAACTATTTCATATGCCTTATTTATCCAAATATAAAATGTAAATTACATTAAAAATCAATTTTCCAAAAGAGATCTGTCCAAGAGGGCGCCACAAAGTTATAAAATAGCAGTTCTAAAAAGTTATGTAAAGTAGCCAAAAAGGACTGGATTAATTATAATGTAGAACAATAGAAGGTACAATAACTCTGTATTAAATATACTTACTAAACAGGTAATTTCTTCATTTTATAAGTAAAGCTTTCATAAATCCTGTCGACTACAGTCTATTTACCAATATCAGTAAAGGTATTAGGCATAAATAACAAACAGAAACATTGGCAATAACTTTCTGGCAGACAGCCACTTTTTGGCATGCATACCAAACGTATTTGTAGTCGTAAACCCTGCTTATACAGTGAAAACTACAACAGTTACTCGACAAAACCATCACTACATTGTAAGATTTTTTTATACGTAAATCACAAAATTACTTTGGGTATAACTAACAAGAATACAAGAATGAAGTTTCTACTTTCCACTTCCATTCAGATGTAATAAACCTAATTGATGACCACAATTAATTCTTTGGAGGTTTTTGTTCATTTGCGGTGTGATCTGTAGAGGAGATGACAATAAATGAGCAGTTTGGGACCATACATGTGTTGTAATCAGGCTGTTATACATGGTACATTGTTTATCAACTCTTTAAACTTGCAAATGGAAACCTTATTTTTTTAATAGCTTTGTCTATAGGTAAAGTGAATAACTAAGAAAGCTACTGGACATAACCTTACCTAAAGTATCTTCTTTATTCTTATCAAATTAAACATTTACAAAAAATAGCTCAGAAGAAGAAGAGACTACACTAATAGGTGTGGTACACCGCTACCAGCTTTAATGTTTCCTTATTAAACAAGCAAATACGTTTTAATCATAGATTTGTTTATAAATGTGGTGGATAACTAAGCAAGATACTGGACATAGCCTTAATAAAATATCATCCTTATTCCAATTTAAATTTTAAAAATGTAGCTAATTTTCTAATACTAATTAGCACAGACTAGCTCCTTCTTCCAACTTACAGCTTTATTTTAAGTTTGCTTAACCGTAGCCTGAGTAAATATAACAGATGACTGTAGTTAATTTGATGATCAAATATGATATTATTAAGCTATTATTCATTTTTGTTTTTTACACTTTTATTTGGTTGGATTCAAAGCGAACAGATGGCAGTAGATCAGTAAATAGGGACTTTACTTACTTACTTAGGCTCTTAGACATCCACTACCTGTATTTTATTTTCCCCCTTGCCAAAACTGCAAGTACAAATATATTTTTATCATAGCTTCATTTGTAAACACAGTGGGAAACTAATCAAGCTCCCGGGCATGACCTTAACTAAAATATATTCTCTATTCAAATCCAAATTTAACAAAATAAATGGCGCTAGAGTCAAAACCATTCATAAGTTAATTAACACAGATCACCAGTAAGGGGTTCCTTTTTCCAATTTACAGTTAGTTTTAAGTTAGAAGCTTAGCACTGGCTGAAGTACACACAACAAATGACCGGTTAATTTGATAATCTGAAATTATACACACACACACACACACACACACACACACACACACACACACACACACACACACACACATATATATATATATATGGCAGTAGATGAGCAAATAGGAACCTAAGACATGTAATTATGCAGTTACACTTCAACTAGCTTGTCTTTTTCCTTACTAAACCAGCAAATACAAATATATTATCATACATTCGTTTACAAACACAGTGGAGAACTAAGCAACCTTCTGGCCATAACCTCAACCAAAATATATTTTGTATTCATAACTAAATAAAACAATTGAACTGGAGTCAAATCGTTCCTAACAGCTAATTAGCACTGACCACCAGAATGAGGCTCTTCCAACTGACATTCAGCTTTTTTTTTTAAGTGCGCAAGTGTGAGTCGGCAGCTTCGGCCTGGCCTGAGTAAATCTAACATATTACAACAAGTTAATTTCATAATCGATTATGATATTAATAAAAGTGATAATTGCAGGTTTTGCTCATTTCTGGTGTTATTTTAAGAGAAGAGACGGCGGTAAATCAGCAAATTGGAGCCAAGTAGTAAGACCTATTTTGAGAGGCGGAGCTGGTCTTCTCCATTCGGCGAGGCGTGTTCGTAATGAAAGGAGCGCGTGAGCGGCGCTTGCTCTGACTTCCTCGCTCATCGGCAGCTACATTGTGTGGAAAGCAGCACGTTGTTGGCTTCTGCACGCTGAACTTTACGCCGAATAAACGTTCTCCTGTTTAAGGAGAAACCGGATTCAAAGCTACCAGATATTTTCTCAGACGTCTGTAAGTTACCCCAGCTTGCGAAAACATGTCGGCCTCGGCGGCAAAAGTGAGTAAAAAGGAGCTGAACTCAAACCATGACGGAGCGGATGAGACCTCCGGTAAGGGGAATGGCGGCCTCCTGTTCACCGCCATTTTCACTTTCTTCTCTTAACATATTTTTGCATTGCCACTTTGTGCATTATTCCTGCTAATTATTTTGTGCACTGCTTTGATTTTTGCATCACGCCACGGGAGCTTCTTCATGGCTGGCCACGGCGGTTGCTGCGTGTATTCGCGCTGCGCTAACGGTGGCTAGCTCCGCAGCTAACATGCCGCTTCTCTTGCCTTCTGTTGTTCAATTCAGACCGGTGCTGAGAGGCCATGTTAGCTCCTTAATTTAGCATCATCAGCGTGGCCAGTGATGTCGAAGGCTCCTAACTGAGTGTCCGTGTGTAATCTTGAAAGAATATTTTTCTGTGTTTGGGAGTAAAATCACTCCACACTATCAGATAAAGGGTTGCAGCTAATTATTTTTTGTTTTAAAAGGGTTAAAGTTGGCCGTTTCAATTAGCAGTTAGCCAGCCTGTGTGTTGTTGTTGTAACGTTACCTAATGCTAGCAGACGACGCTGTGTTTTGTTACCGCTAAAGATGCATTTAAATCAACTGGTCACGCAGTCAGGTGAACCGGATAATTATTTTATGTGGACGAAAACACACAGGATTTCTACTGTATGGGGGACGGTTTCACAGTAATGGGGGGTATTCTGGCATCTGTCCCCGGTTTTGGTCCCTCATGTTATCGCGGCTCTGTGTGTGTGTGTGCACTCAGATGTCCCACATTTAAACCACGCGGCCTTATAGGTAGCAGCCGGCAGGAAACGGTGAGTGTCTGAGCCGCTAGAGCTACAGCTATTGGCCGCTTACCTTACGTTAACCTCCGGGGGATTTAATCAGGCATATATCTTTACTTACACTGTACTAACGCAGAATTAAGTTGGGTTTTATTTGCGCTCCGGTAGGTGTTGGTATAAAATTACATTTGGTGTAAAAAGAATTTTCAGATAATGGCAAACTTAGTTTCTCTGTAAAATAAGTTTGTATGCAGGACTGACTAAAAGTAAAAAATAAATAAATGGATAATCGAGGTCCTACTTGACTGTTGCTGTGTGTAATTTGCATATAATAATCTTTTAACAATTTTTTGTTTCCCACAGAGAAAGAGCAGCAAGAAGCTATTGAACACATTGATGAAGTTCAAAATGAAATTGACAGGTAATAAACCTTTTAAGCTAAACGTGTCCTTATAGGGGTAGATTTTCTGCCTTTTAGAAATCTCGGTGATGTTTGCTACATGTTTTGATGAAAAGAGGAACTATGTCGCTAAATTAACATGCTACAATCTGGAAACCTGCATAATCGCTGAACTGCATTAAGATGCAGTTATTATAGTGAACAGCCAGAATATTAAATATGACATAGCTTAAAGTGGAAGGGTTGAATAAATTGAAATGCAAGGCAGCATTGTTCATTGTGGTGAAAATGACACTAGAGCATAAAGTAAAATATCAATTAAATATAATTAAACATCTAAATATAATTTAGTGAGGGATTTAATAGGCATATGTCCAAATGTAAATTGGGTTGTTTTGGTGTAAGGCAGAGTTTGGGCTTTAAAAAAAGTTGTGGATCTATTGAAGAAAAATGAAACTTTTCTTTTAAATTGAATGGTTTTCCTTCAATTTTAAGTACAACTCAAATGAATGTGAATTGAGCTAAATTGGATGATGTTCCAAAAGGTAAAGTGAAAGCATATGAGGCAATAAACCCTTTTTAAATAATCAATAAATCCTAAATGCAAATAAAGTTTGGGCACAACACTGTCCACTGTTGGACACGCATATGTAAATAAATATAGCATTTATCTATATGTTGACATTACACTTGGTTACCTGGATTGTGCAAATTTTAAACTTCTCTTTTTCTTGTTCAGGTTGAATGAGCAAGCAAGTGAGGAGATCCTCAAAGTAGAACAGAAATACAACAAACTCCGTCAGCCATTCTTTCAAAAGAGGTCAGAACTGATCGCCAAAATCCCCAACTTCTGGGTCACCACATTTGTCAACCATCCACAGGGTAAGCAGATAATCTAAGAAATTTTATTACTCTAATTTGTCTATATTTAAAAATGGCATCACAGTGCCAAGTGTGAGTGATGTGGACAGTGAATCAAGTTTTAAATCTGTATAACCATATGTTCTTCCTACAGTATCAGCCCTACTGGGGGAGGAAGATGAGGAAGCGCTTCATTACCTGAGCCGAGTGGAGGTGACGGAGTTTGAAGACATCAAGTCAGGCTACAGAATAGATTTTGTAAGTGTTTAATGGTTTCACGTAACACTTTAGTGACTATTTTTATTTTTTAAAATTTATTTTTTCCTTTATTTGCAAGTTTTCTTACCTGGGTGCATTTTTAATTTTTCTTTTTCCTTTTTTTAGTATTTCGATGAAAATCCGTACTTCGAAAACAAAGTTCTTTCCAAAGAGTTCCATCTGAATGAGAGCGGAGACCCATCTTCAAAGTCAACAGAAATCAAATGGAAATCAGGAAAGGTATGCACAGCTTTCAGTTTGTCAACCAAAGTAAATGAGTGGATCACCACTTTGACCTATCATGTTTATCAGTGCCAGAGCAAGCTCATTGACTAAACACTCACGATTGACAGTACTCCTGTTTGACATAATGAAGTTAATTTTTTGTTTTGGATAACACTTACAACTACCTACAACTGGGACCATAGACTCATCAGTGAGGTGTTTACAGAGACCAGAGATAAGTCAGAAATGTGATCATAAGGAGTTGCCCTCTGCTGGCAAAGAAGTAGTAATGCAGGTTAAAGACTACTCTATTTTCATAACCCAGAGCTATTAAATCTACAGTTTATAGATTTTATTCAGAATTGTAGTGAGTTTGTGACTTTTATATCTCACATTGTTAGTTTTAAATGTAATGTGCTGATAATGGGTAGTGCTGAGAATTTTTTTTCCTGTACCAGTCACAAACTGTTTGGTAACTCCTGATGTTTTTAGGACCTGACCAAGCGCTCCAGCCAGACACAGAACAAAGCAGGAAGGAAGAGGCAACACGAAGAACCAGAGAGCTTCTTCACTTGGTTCACTGATCATGCCGACGCGGGCGCTGATGAGCTCGGGGAGGTCATCAAGGATGACATCTGGCCAAACCCTCTGCAGTACTACCTGGTATGTTTATGATGTTTAGTCTGTATTACAATGTTCTCACATCTTTCATCAATCCATGAAATGATAACAATGTAAGAACCAGAGCAAGAAAATGCTTAAGATTTCCTCATCTCTAGGTTCCTGATATGGAGGATGAAGAGGGTGAAGGTGAGGAGGATGAAGAGGATGAGGAGGGTCTGGAGGACATTGATGAGGAAGGAGATGAAGATGGCGAGGAAGATGAAGAGGATGATGGAGAAGATGGAGAGGTAATCTACTAAAAGCTGAGAAAATTGATGTGAGTGGTGCGGGGTCACCTCCCCTCCCTCTTCACTTGCTAACTGCGTGATGTCTCGCTCTTTCAGGACGACGAAGGAGAAGATGACTAAGAAAACCACCATTTACCAAGACCCTCAACCTTCTATTCCCTGTTCAGTTTTTCCACTCATGTTCGGGAGCAAAGGTTTTATTTTATTTTTTGTTACTTTTTTTTTTTAAAATCCGTGTGTGCTTCATTTTCCATTCTGAAGCCTCTTTCACTTGTTGGTGCCATGTTTTGTTATCCCTCGACTCATCTAAGGCAAATGGCACTTTGCCCTGAATTTTGAGTACCATCCCCCTCAAGTCATCTAAAAATGATAATAAAAAAGTCTAAAAAATAGAATCAGCACGGCATCCTAAGTAGATTTGAAGACTATTCACACAGAAGTTCTTCTGTTCAAGGTTGTGTGGTAAATTGATTAAAGCCATGGTGTAGTGACCTAGCGCTAGCAGACCTCTAAATATTTTCTTTTCTTTCATTTTTTTTAAATTTTATTATTATTTTTTTTTTAATTTGGGATGTTGAATCCTTAAAACTTATTTTCCCCTACGTGCTTAATGAGTACCAGCTCATTCCTTTGACTTGTAATGTTTAGAGGGAGGGCAGGGTGGGGCAGGAGTATGTTGGATATTGGGGAGAGTGGTTATTTTGACACCATTTCTATGGGACTTTTTTTTTTTCATTGTATTGTTTTACAGATATCCATGAGATTTGAAATGACATTTTTAATAAAGAACAAAATGGAAAAAAAACAAGCTTGTAAATTTTGCCCCCCACTGCTTCATGGGTTTAAAAAATGGACCTGTTATCTCAGAATTTACATTTAATTACCCTTTTCCTTTTTCGCTTGGGGTGGGGGGGGAAGAAATTGTTTTAAATTTGAGGTGTACAACTTGCTTTGTTACAATAATAAAACTTACTGTGTATAAATGTGTGGGTGCATTCAAATTTAAGAAAATATAATTCGGGTAGTGGCAAAGGCACCAGGGTTAACTACTTGTAAAGTCTGTCAGCTGGAGAAGGATTTTGGAGTCATAAGCAGGCTTGAAGCAAAGTCCTCTGTTAGTAGGCGATGGGTGATTAAAGCCAAGAAGGTGTGCTCCGATTCCTTGAAATTGCTTTTTGTTATCCTGTCAGGCCAGTCACTTGGCTGGAAGGCCCAACCTAGAGAAAAGTGACAAAATCAGTTACCTGAAAGCAAGATGTAACTTGTTCAGGTGTTTCAGAGAAGTGGGATACATGTCAGTGCAGGTTAACCATAAAAGCCTGAATTCAGATGTACTAAATCCTGACTTAAAAATGAACTATTTTCCAGATCTGTATTTAATAACTTCAAGTACTTTAGCTTGGATAAAAAAAAAAAAAACACACTTGAAAGAAATGTGCATGTCCCAACGTTCATTACACACAAATGCAGTCAGCCATACCTTTAAAACGTAAGGGGTGAGTATCTAAGGAAACATCTAACCTATATAAATTTGTTCAAAACAAGCATCTTAAAAGAAGGCCTAGTCAGATATCTCTAAAGCTGTGGCCAGGTAGGGCTCTGTATGTGACTGAGTTGCAGTCATCTAAGGGATCAAATTCATGTTTCAGATTGTGGCACAGATGGTATAACACAAGGACGCAGGTGCCTTAAACCTGCATTCTTTTCAAAGGCCACCAGGGGGTAAATCTTGTGTCCTCAACGGGACTTCTGGTCCTTTACAAGTCTATGGGAAAACTACCCTCTGCTCTGCCCCTGGAAAACTTTTTTTTTTTTTGTGGTGCGCTAATGGCTCAGTCGCTCATTTTGGGGCATAATAAAACATTTCATAAACGGGTCATTCAAAATGTCAAGAAGATTATCCAGGATACGCAGATAGGAAATAATTTGGCAGATTGCAAACAATAATTTTTCATCTGTTTAGATAAGGTTTTACTACTAATATACAGTTTAAATATATTGGATTAACTTGTTTATATGACTTTAAAGCACAAAAATATACAACTAACATATAAAGACGTAAACCAGAGTTATTATAGTTGTTTATTTCTAATTTATTTTAAGTTTTTATTTCCTCGATCAGTAGATCGACGTTTCGATTTAGCTTTCTCACACATGAGTTTAGTTAACTGTAATAACCCTGATGTGTAGGTTTACCCACCTAGGTGAGTGTTACACCTGGGACAGGTGGCCACGGTCCAGGAGAACCCCGGGAACCAGGAGAAGCGCTTGTCTGACGGCCAGTGCTGAGTAACGTCGGCTTTTCTGAACGTGATCACCTCAAACCGGTGTCCGTGGGGATTTTCAAACAGCTGAACGTTAACCCTTCGACCCCCGAGCAGCGTGTCGTTGCGGCTGGAGAGCGCCAGCCGGCTAGGCACGGAGCGGATGTCCGTCCCGAGTGCTAACTCGTGTCCGCAAGCCCTGCACAGGATCAGGGTGTCCGTGCTGCTAGCTCCTCGGTCCTGTGCCTCCGCTGCAGCAGCCGCAACACACGCTTCACCGAGCTTGTGGGCACTGGGGTAAAACAGGAGCATAAAGAAAACGTACTGCCCCAGCATGTTTGTTAGCAGCCACGCGCACATGGAAGGCTAACCACAAGCTAAGCTAACTGAAACTCTTAGCAGCTTTGTTTTTAGCCGACACGGCGCATGGAGCGAGAATCAATAATTGGCTGTCAGATATCAGCACAAATGATAAAACATATAAATCTCTGACCACTAAATTTTTGTGTACATTTATTATATCGTTTCGATTGGTGGACTTTGGAGCGGCTGGCTAGTATAAACGTGTTAGCTTAAGATTCGGAAGTGCCACAGAAATAAACAGGAAGTGGATTCATCTCTAGCTCATCTCAGACGTCGAACACTGCGGTGTTATTTAACTGGAAAACGGCTATTTACTTTAGAAAAGCCACCAGTATACATGATCTGCATTTGAAAAGTAAAGCATTTAACAATACGTTCATTTTTTTTTGGTCTGGGTTTTTTTGTTATAACGGTTTTGTGCTGCGTTCACGTTACATGGTTTCAAACGGAATTCCCGAAACCGTCATAACAAAGGTATCTGCTGCAGCTCCATTGTTGCTATAAATATCTAACAACTGATCTGATTTTATAAAGTTTAAGAGATAGATTATTCCTATTCGAATTGAAGCGTGAAACCATTTAAGAAGGGTATTAATTTATTTGGATTTTTTCCGACACCACCTAAAGGCAGCGTGGACTTCACGATTACTTTTAATGGTTACCACGGACAACGCTTGCACAAAACTTTCCTCTCAACCAATCACAAAGCGGGATCTTGCAACCGAGCCAATCATCAGGCCGGTCGTTTGTCAAGCCAAACAACCGTTTTCTTTACAGGGAGAAGCCGAGATTCATCTTGGAAGCAGACTGTGTATCATGATAAAAATGTGCTTTTTAATACTTATTTTAACGGGTCATTAATGTGCCCAAACTGGGTCTATGAGAATGAAAACCCGGGATTCACCTCCGTCGCCGCCACCGGTTCACCTCCACGTACTGGAGACTACACCTATACATGTTCACATGAGGAGGAGTCCCAGCAAAACTCCACAGGTTACTGTACTTTATAGATTCGGGGAAAATACTGCTGATGTTAATCACATGTCGTATTTCTGCTGCAAAGATTTGTTAGTTTTCTTCTAGACAGCCCTCACCCCACCTTTTCGCAAGCTTTCAAAGAGTTTCCAGAGGAACAGGACGCTACGTTAAGTCTTGAAGCGTTTCACCTGAATCTGTTTACCTTTTCTAAAGAGTCGGGAAAAAGATGCCCAGGTGAAGGGCGATGGAGGTAGACCAAAGGTCCGGAAGCCGTGGATTCCTCCAGGAAGGCTGTCCTGCAGAAGAGATGTGGACTCCCACAAGTGCCAGGTCTCTTATTACTGTTCATCTCTGTTAAATGTACTGGGATCTGTGGAGAGGAAAGATTTTCTGGCAGCAGCTTGTTTCTTTAACAAAACAGATGTACCGAAAATATCAAAAAAACTACAACCAGAACCTATACTCTCATTTCAGGGCTGATTTACAAATTAACAAAGGTAGCTGATATCCATTACCATGGACCATCCGAACTACCCACGCAAAGAGTATTCACATATCACTTTGAGCTTATATTCCTTATTTTGACATGTTCGAGCAATGTTTTTCTGTTAATCTGTCTACCTGCCACTGATGGCACAGTATGCACAACATAGGGCCATTTACTAGAAAAAGTAGAAATGAAGTAAAAGAAGTAGAATTTAAGCAAGACATAAAAAAAACTACAACCCTGGGACTTGAGGATCTTAAAAATGATGTCCAGGGCAAGAGAAAAATGTCATAAATATCCACAGACATAGAAAAAATAAAAATAGTGAGCTGAATAAAAGGAGTTGGATACATTTTAACCCACAAACACTTAATCACACAAAGAACAACTGCTACAGTGGCTAACGTAGCAGGCGTTAAAAGACTTCAACTCCCACAACACCCTGCACATCATGGAGAGCAAGGAGTTCCCCTCCTAAATAATATTTGCATATGACAGACACATCTGGTCAACCCCTCACTGACTGGGATGTATTAATCATAGAGAGCCTAAGACAGGACCATCTTTTTGGCTTTAATTTGAGGATTAAACCTAATTTTATTTTTTCTAAGACACAGTCGAGGATACTTTGATGAACATGTACCTTGTTTCTTTTGGTAGGTGCAGCTGTTCTCAGTTTATTTCTGTCTTCTTTGAGGCTGATCCCTGAACCGTATTTCTGTTTGTCGTGATTAGACGAGCCGAGTGCGGCATCAGACAGAAAATGGGATCAGACATCAGAACGAAGCAGAGGAGCAGGAGGAAGAGCTGGATGCAGTGTCCAAGGACCTCAGCATCCTACTTAGAGAGCAAGAGAGCTTTCGCCGTTTGAGGAAGTACGTACAGCTTCAGCAGTCTGACACACAAACATTTGTACTACTGACCTCATATCCAGAGGAAGTTTAACCAAAATGGTTTAGTTGTACAGTTTCTCTGAATCTTCTCACAGGAGCACGAAACAAATGCTGAACGAATTCATGTTATAGCAATGATTAGGCAAAATGAATAATGAAATTAATGATGATGAGTGCCATTTCTCCTATTCCTATAATGTAAAAGCTGCAATGGAAGAATATGCAGTTAAATCAGATTTTTTTTCATTTGGTAAATCTGCCAAAAAAACTTTTTACTACAAAAGTCTTCTACTGTAATCTTTGCGTTGCAGAAGTCTCTTTAATGGGTGGCAACAAGTTTTTACACATATCTTTGTAAAGCAATAAAAGGAGGAGAACTAACAGTGAGTTAGTTACCTCTTGGGAGCTAATGTTCGTAGATTAAGGTGTTTTAGTTAATTTTATTTATTTTACAATTTAATGGACTTAACCAGCAGTGTCAAACTGCAGTCCTCGAGGGCCAGCAGTCAAGTTCTATAGTCTTGCTAATGACCTACTAATTTTATTCAGGTGTGTTACAGCAGGGACACATGGAAAAGTTTCACTACACCGGCCCTCAAGGACTGGAGTTTGACACCTGTGGACTTAATGAACTATACGCACCTGTATTGGTAGAGATTAGTATGTCAAATGCCTGATAAACTACCAGTGTGCATGGTTACCAGCACAACACTGAGAAAGATGGCGTAGCAGAAGGCTGCTCACCCAGAATCAAGGGTGCCCTGAATAGCTGCTGCACCTTTAAACTTGGTGCGATTGATGCAGGTCAACTGGAACGGGGACTGGGTACCAGAGGAATCACACAGTGTTGGCAGTCAGGGGAAGAGAAGGAGAACAAGTGGATTTAGCACAAGGAAATACAAGTTTCAGCTTTCAGTGACTCCTGCAACGATACTCTAGTAGAGGAAACGAGAATAATAAGGCCAACTTTTACTCCAATATACTTTCTGCTGATGCACACAATGATATTTCAGGTCTGCTTTGTTTACAGGTCAGATTCTCGAGGTCAACACAGAGGGGCAGATGTGCTCCTGAGAACCCTCGTTGAAGCAGAAATTGACGGCGTAGCTGTAGCCAATCAGCTGACAGCTTTGAAGGAAACTATGGACAGCTTTGCCAAGGTAAAACCTGCACTGGAAGATATTTTACTGATAAATCAAGTGGATGAAGAAATGAGGCAGAAGGAATAGATTAGGACATGTTTGGATGTGCATGTTTATTTATGTTTTAGGACAAGACGGTGTCAAAACTGCACGCCGCTTCTCTGGAACGGCAGCAGAAGTTGTTGTTGGAAAAGATCGAGATGTTTGATAACACACACCACGGCCTCCGACAGCTCCTCAGAGAGTGGAGTGAACATGAGGTACAGGAAGAAGACAAACATTCCCAGCCCACTGTTCCTTCAGTGGGCTGGTTTCAGTCATTATGCAAATATACTGTTTATAAGATCGGGGAAACCTGCAGTCAGCTGAGACTGAAGAAGTCACTTGGATGAGTGACGAAACTCCCACAAAACGCTACGTCCAGATGAACAGAATCAACTTTTGGAGATTAAGGAGTGGGACTGTCAGCGTGCCTTTATTCACTCCTGACTTTTACTGTATCCACAGCGGGAATCGCTGGTGAGGTCAGAACAGACAGACACCCTGAGAAAGAGACTGGCCGACAGTGAAGCAGACAACATGGTGAGTGATTATCACCCGCTTTTTACCTCATTTTACATCAGAGAAAATTTCTGAGAAGACGTTTCTTCTTTTGCAGCGCCTTCTGGCCAAACTCACCCACAAGGAGAAAGAGGCCTCAAAGCTTGCAGAGCATTTGGACTTTGAAAAGGTTTTCCACAACTAACTGATACCTCTCAGACAGACATGCGCACCCTTAATGATCTCTCCCGCTCATCCTCTGCTTCCCTCTCTCATTGCAGGACAATGTGAAGACAACCGAGGAGCTTTCAAGAATCCTGGAGTCAACTCGCAGCCACCTGGAGTCTCAGCTGAGCCGAGCAGAGGCAGAAAAGACCCGACTGGCCGCTCAGATTCAGGTCTGTTAACACAGAACGCGATCATATGCATTAACACACTGGAACAAGCAGACATAGACTACAACCAAAGACTTAAAAACCCTTTTGATATCTCAGGCCACATTTACTAGTCAATGCAATTAATGCGATCGCAAAAAAAATGCACAAGTGAGAGTGCAAAGTTCTGCAATTTAACTGCCAAAAATGCCACATGAAGGTATCTAAAGACATATTTGGTGCAAAACCTGGGGTTTGTCATAGCAAATACTTGTAACACTTTATTTTCATCTACGTTTAAAAATGCCTGAAAACAAGTTACACTGAATGAATATACAATATATAATAAAATGAAGGTTGTAAAGAATAAAAAAGCAAAAACACAACCAGACCATCAGCCACTGTGTGGCTTCCTCCAAACTCTAATTCATTCCACCTGTTTAGCTGTGAACTTCAGTAAACAGGATATATGACTAATCTTAACACCTGTACCCCCAGGGTGAAGTTACTACATCCAGTGTTTACACTGTTCCAGACATCAACACCAACTTAATACCAAATGACTATTGCAATTCCTGGAGGAATCTGCAATCTGCTGAAAACAGCACAAACTAGCAGGTCAAAAAAAGATTGACCCAATGAGGGAGCAACAAATCTACTGAAATAATAATGGAGTGTAGGCACTGGCACATGTTTCTCCCCAGAAACAGCAGTTAGGGTCAGTGAGCGCCAGCTGAAGGAGAATCAGTATGTTCTAACATGAAGGCAAACTCCTCTGGGACTGTGTGCGGATAAATGCGAGGCTCTGGATCAATCT